TAACACTTCTGGGGAAGTTAAAAGTCAATGGCATTCGATCCCTGAGCAAGCCACTTGGCCTAAATGAATGATTCCTTCCGCAAGGTCTTTATTACTTATGTGATTTTCATTGCTTTGAGCCTTGGGAAGCATGGCTTCAAATTGCACTCCAAACATGAGGAATTATCCTGTTTATTGTAATCACAATATGCTGTCTGGTGCCTTATGTTCTCTCAAAAGCTTTAAATGCAAGTTCGGAGCTGGTAACCTGCAAACTAATGATCTCTCTAAGATTAGAATGTCAGAAGAAAAAAAGAAAGAAAGAAAGAAACAAAGAGAACAGAATGACCAGCTCAAAAACTGTAAAGTTGAAGTGGTAACCTGTGAACATTCACAGGCCAAAAGGTCAAGACCTGTGAATATCACAAGAGCAACCACAAAAACTGTGAGAACCTCAGAGAGGTTGCTGAGTGCGGTTAATGCCTTCAATTGTGATTCCTCCGTTAAGTTAAACCGGGAGTCTGATCAAAAGGCAGGGCTGTTAAAAAGAAAACCACAGGCTCAAAATGGCCTCACTCAACTTAAGGCCCCAAACCAGTAAACCAAGACTTCATCCCTGCCCAGCTGCAGTTTCAACCCCCAGAAATGTAGCCTTAAACCAGGGAACATGGACATTTCCTGGCTCGCACTAGGGAGTTTACTGATCGACTCTGGTCCCTTTGCCTAAAACAATGTTCTTTGCTAATAATTTCTTTTTCACTCCCTCTCTATGTGAAAAAACTTCCCCACTCCTGCAGCCCTTCCAAGCTCCCCTCTACTTGCTGGATACGATGCTCTCTGATTCATGAATAGATCACTTAACACAGCCAGTTAGGTCTTTAACATTTATTTGGTTGAATTTTTGTTATTTGACAGATTCTTAGTTCGTCCAATGATCAAACTAGGGCCAAACCTTTGCTTTCACCTGGTCGGTGATGAAGAGCGAATGAAATTATCTTGATGACAATCCTTGCTGTTGGAAACATGATATGGATGAATTTTTTCATATATTTATTGCATTTATGTATATTCTTTCCTAAAACTTAACTAAAGTAAGATCACATGGACAGCCATAACTTTTTATGGCTAAGAAACAGGCAGGAACCGGGGCGCCTGGGTGGCGCAGTCGGTTAAGCGTCCGACTTCAGCCAGGTCACGATCTCGCGGTCCGGGAGTTCGAGCCCCGCGTCAGGCTCTGGGCTGATGGCTCAGAGCCTGGAGCCTGTTTCCGATTCTGTGTCTCCCTCTCTCTCTGCCCCTCCCCCGTTCATGCTCTGTCTCTCTCTGTCCCAAAAATAAAATAAAACGTTGAAAAAAAAAAA